TGGCAATCAAAAGTCCCCAAAATGAATCTGGTCTAGGTCCATATTCTTGTTTCTTTCTGACATTTAGGTGCGTCACTAGCCACAGCACTGGGAAAGCCGCTGGGTGCGGTCTGAGGGCTCTGCCCTGCACAGCGCAGTGCTGGCACCGGCAGCATCCCCGTGGCCGCCCCGCCATCGCACGGTCTCTGCCAGGAGCATGTCTCTGCTGCTGCGTTGCAGCTACACAAAATAGGTTTTTATCCAGACAGAATTAACAGAAGCATTCCACGATCACTTTCATGCTTTATTTTTATATGCAGGAAATAAACCCTGAAATAAAATTCTGTATGAATTCCCAAACTTCTGTTCAAATCCACCATCACAGTCTCCAGACACTAAGCAGAGTCTCACCAGTGTCACTAGTATTCACACTATGAGATCCTGATTAAATATCAGTGCTCATTTGCAAATTACTGAATACATAGCCAATTCCAAAGGTTTTACATACAGTCTCGTTTTGAAGGAAGGTGACTTTTCTTTCAAAGCAATGACATCTATAACCTCAAGTTCAATGGATCAAATGTGAAATCTGTAGCCGAACTAGCAGTAAAACATCACAGAATTCACTATGGATACACTGTAACATACATAAAACCTCAAAAGTTAAAAAATTCAAAGTGTAAAGTATATGAGCAACCCCAGTTGATTTTTAAAGTTACTTTATAGCAGAAGCTTTTAAAAAACAGAATACTCTTCAACAATATTTCAGAAAGACCTCATTGCGCCTGAAACATTACTACTTTTCAATATTTGATCATAAACTTCCAATAACAGCTTCCATAAATGAGATCACAAAATGCCTTAAAACTAGGAACAACTTCTGGTCAGAGATGCCTACTACTAAAATGCAGGAACTAAAAGCCTTTCAGGCTCCACAACAGGAAATATAAGATATCCAACTAAAATATGAGGTGGAAACTTGGGAACCAGACCGTAATTACTCTGTCTTGAGTTTTCTTGGAACAGCTGTACTAACACCTGAACTCCTACTAAAAAGTACTACAGGATGTTTAACAGCAGCAAGCAGCCAGAACCTGATTTAAAACAGGATTCAGAGGCATTACTTCAGGACTCCAAACTCCGTACACTTGGGAAATGATCCGTAACCACTAGAAGGGAAGTGTTATTTACTGACTTAACGACACTCTTTAAAGACAAGAGGGAAACCTGAGACAGAAAGGCTGGACAGCTAGGACTACTTAACTAGAAAGCTCAAGTTGTGAGATCAGGATAGCTAAGTGATACGGAGATCAGCCTGGGTTTGCCATCTGAAGATGTTCCTAAAGCCCTGAGTAGATCCATAAGCTGTGCTGGATGCCACGTGGACCCAGGGCTAGCAGTACTAGTTAAGGATAGATAAGCATATCTATTAAAAATACCAGACATGCATTAAATATTCCTTAGCAGTAAACCCAAGTTATCAGCGGCCTCTGTTATCAAGAAGGGACTGGTGAATCTATGCAACTTCATGTATGACACAAAAAAAAATTTACCTCCCTTGGATAGCAGAACAGCAAGAAATAGCCAGGCAATAGCTACGGATATCCACTCGGAGTGATCCAGATCACTAGTTTTCACTGAACACAAACTAAATCTCCACCACATCACCTACATAGAGACATCCACATGTCTTAAACCTCAAACTGAATCCCATCCCACATGACCTTGTATTTCAGGGCATAAACTCACTTGTAACCAAGAGAATCAAAAAGAGTTTCCCATTAGAAAAGTTATTTTCCTTTATTCTGAAAGGTTTCTTGCAGGTTTCATTAATCCAATGGTATGGCATGCTATCAGAAAAATAACAGTCTGTGAGATAATCCACTAGACAGATCTAGTGTAATAATGTGAATATTCCAATAATTTAATATACTCTGCATATGACAGCCGTGTCCAATGCAAGATGATGTATAGGCACATGCTACAGAAATAATGCATATTGCTTTCTCATTATATTCAAAATAAAATTTGAAAATTAAAGCAGAGCAGATGTGAATGATGGAGGAAAAGGAGTCTGAAAGTAAACAACATAAGATGCATGGGGCTTGTGGTTTCTGCAGTTATTCACACACGATAAGCATTGTAAGAGTAGCCCATTTTTTCTGGATCCCAAAGCCTAAAACTTTTTTTTTTTTTTTTAAATACAATATACTTTTCCTTTTCTTCTCTCTGTTACTCTTCATTGCAAATAGTTTAATGTCAGAAGGAACCGTTTAGCCTGACATCCTTTTATCCCAGGTTTGGTTACCCTAGTATTCAGCTACTCCAACTATCTGCATTATTATAGTGCATCTTCCAAAAAAGCAACCATTCCTGATGCTAAAATATCAAATAATAATGCTAAAATATCCAACAATGTAAGTATCTACACTCCTATTTTTTGGGTTGTTCCAGTGGCTAAGAGCCTCACTGATGAAAGACATACAGCTTTGTTCCCCAGACCCATCCGCAAACTCTGTCATCAGTTTATATTGGAAACATCCTGGGTGAGTGTAAATGGCCCAAAAATCAATCCACTCCTCTTTGACAGACTTTACATACATTGCCATTTTTCATTAGGATTTTGTACAATGAAAAGCCTCTACAAAAATGTTACATCAGTAAATCTACCTTATTAACCAAATCCGTAATAGCATTAAAGAATTTAATTCTTTATCAGTGGAATCCCAAATCACCTTTGTCATCGTTCTTCTCACACCAGATGACAGGTCATATAGTTTCCTATGTTACCTCACGTATTCTTTTCTGATAAGGACATTGATCTTCTGATGGTCTTTTCAAATCTCCCCACACTGAGATTCACTTAACCACTCAGAACCGTCATCCCTAATAAATGTTTCCATCTCTGCCACATAATTACTGTTCTCTCATGTCACTGGGCTCTGCCACTGCTGGAATTTCTTTTGTTTCTAGTGACCTTTAAAAAATTCTTTGATACTTTTATTAACTATCAAGTTTTCCTTGGGATCTTTACATTTCCTACAAATATACAAGAGTGCAGACTTTCATTTATATTTGTATCTATCTCCTAGTTCCTCTTTTTTCCACTTATTAAATGCAGTGTTTCTTAAATATTAACCGTTTCCTCTCTCAATGAAGAAAGAATCCCACTTCTGTTCTGTCCAAGTTTATCTTTTCCCAAAACAACATCTCGCCAAATGTAACAAAAGCATTTTCCACTAGTTTCCACCTTGAATGTGAACAGAGAAAGATATCCTAGAGTGTTGAGCATTATCCCTGCCCTCAGATATTCTTCAAGTCACTGAAGCATTTAGAGCTCTACTGAGAACCCCAAACACTGTATGCTAAAACCCTAAGTTTTAAAAATTTAATAGTAGGGAAAACGAGATGAAAATATGATAAAGACAACCTAGGAAAGGTTGTAGCCCAGTGTATCTAACATGAAGGAAAATGTCCAGTCTTTGGTAGCAGTCAACATTCAACACCTAGAGAACCACGTCAACCAGGGCAGCCAGCAGTGACACTGTGCCAGCTCAAGCCTTGGGCCTTCTAGTTAACAGTTCTTAATGGAGTGCACTTCTGTGAATTTGTCCAGACATTTTTTGATCCCACCTGAGTTTTATTATTCACAACACCCACCAGTGCTGTGCTCTGTAGTTCAGTTATGCAGTTCTAATTATTTTGAAATTGCTCTTTACCTCCTTCACCTGGTGCCCTCTAGCTATGTATTGGAAGAGACAGTGAACAAGATGTTCCGTATTTACTCTCTCCTTGTTACTCGTGACTTGAGAGACATTCCCACCCTGTCATATGTTTTCCAGACTCATGAACCTTCTGTAGTAGTACTGAATGGCTAAAATTTAGAATACCATCAACCTACAGTCTATTAAGATTTCACTTCACTTGTCTGTTTTCTCACACGTGTTTCACTAGCCCAGATGAATCTACAAGGCATTTTTCTTTCAATTTTACAATTATTTTCTTCCTTTTCTTTTTGATTTTGTTTCAGGAGGGAATGACACTCACATTCAGATCCTGAAAACAGCTGCTGCAATTCCTCCAGCACTGTCCTCCTGACTTCAGGTTTACCCAAGACTTTGCAGAAAGCCCAAGAAAAATTTCACAAACACTTTTTCACCTGGCAATTGAGCTGCTGAAGGAGGCCACCCCTGTCACCAGCCTTTGTTCCCATGTCTGAAAGACACTTCCCCACCTCCTGAAAAGCACCTATGCAGCTGTGAGCAGGGCTGTGCTGTCAACCAGATCAGTGAACTGGTCTGGGTTAGGCAAAGAAAAACCACAGAAATGCTTTTCAATCTGGGTCACTTCCCTGGCATGCTTTAGATCTCAGCCTTACTACAGCTGCCTCAGCACGACTGAGAAGATATTGCACAGCAGCACAGGGATGGAAAGGAGCGGCCAAGCACAGGAACAAGGGCAGGAACAACTTGAAACATTTTTCCCACCAAAGACAATAGCAACAACTCCACACCCACATGAGAACGTGTTCTCAAAAAATCCAGTCCTGACAGTCATTTGAGCACCACCCTCACCTACCTCAGCCTACAGAAATCTATCAAGCATATAACTGGTCTTGGTAAATATTACTCTCAAGTAACACATGATCATGTGAGTTTTTCCGCTTTCTACCCCATCATCTCCCTCATTAGGGAACACTAAGCAGTCCTGTTTGTACTTGCTAAATGTCTCTGAACGGCCACTGCAAGCCAAGTCGGAAATGCAATTTCCAAATTACAGGCATTTAAAGGAGGCTGAATAAACCTGACACCCAGAGTTTTGAACAGCTAAACCTCCAGCTATTTTTGCAACATATTCCACAGTGTATGAGGAGTGTACAGCTTAAAGGATTGGACTGGTAGAACTGTTACCAACAGTAACATGCAAACTAGATCATACCAGCTTTGTTATCAATAGTTCTGCTTTACTATCCATCCACAGTAACTCGTCAGTCATTGCGAATTGCTGAAACACCCCTAAAACTAGGCAGAGATTTAGAAATAGTCTTTGAATCCACATCCCTTGAGACAGTGACTGGCTGCACAGCAGGGCACAACGAATTTCTGTATACTCACTTATAAAATAAAGATAAGCGCATTTCACTTTAAAAAAAAAAATAGTACTCCATAAAAACTTTCTTTTATATCAGTATTAAAACCCCTCACTTTTCAAATAACATTTAACACAGAGCTTAGGACAAAACACATATGCTTTTTTTAATATCTTTCCTTACAAAACCACATACTATTGAAAATCTTGTAAGGTGCGTGTAGTATCTTGGGTTTGACAGGAGGGAAGGATTTCCTCATCTCATGGTCCACGCTTATTTCTGGGCTTGCTTCACCAACGTAACCACAATTTTATTCACATCTATCAGGAGACATTAAATCTCTCTGTGTTTTGGCAATGTTAATACTCACGTTCACTTCCACCTCTATGGACCAGTCTCCCAGTGGAGGGTTCATTGATAACTGAAATTTTTTTGAAACTACGCCCATATCGCCCTCCTCCATCAACCACTGCTGAATCAATTTCTTCCGAGGGTCCTAGGAGAAAAGTCAGGCTGCATGTTAAACGCGAGTAGTCTTGCTAGCAAGATTTAGGTAGCAATACATTTATTTGTCACATAAAGTTGGAACATGTGACAAATTCCAATGTATAACTAGGTTGCTATGGATACTTACTCGGATATATATATTCAGAGACGCTTTGTAAGGTTTGAGATCAGGATAGACAGTGACAATCCGAAACATCACATCTTGTCCCGGTTTATACATAGATTTATCAGTCTGGATGAATACAGAGATGCTCTTTGCCATGTACATCAAGCTGGTACGGTTAGAGAAGATGAGCCGGCCATCAGCATGACCTTCCACCAGTAATTCATAATTCCCAGAAGCACTGTTCAAAGGCAGCTAAAAAGGAAATAGCAACTCTCTGTTAAGTATCCAAAATATTCTTGAAGATATTATTATTCCAAAAACATTTTACATAAAGATCTGACATATTCTTGAACTTGTCAACTTATGTAAATTCTCAAAAAGAGGAAGAATATTTCAGGGCTTTAAAGTATCATTTAAACAACGACCTGAAAACATGTTAGCAGAAGCACTTTTTCAACATATTTGCATCTAATTTTCAGTAGTAATCAGGTTTCAACAATGTAAGTATCTATGTATTCATACATCATTCATAGATTCTCACACACACACATAGCGCTCTCTCTTGTCAGTTATTTAGAAATTTCTTGGGTTTGATTTTGTGGGCTAATTATTTTCTGACTTGACCACTTTTTGGTAACGAGTTTTCCAAAAATAAAAGAGCTGGAAAAACTATAAGCAGGGAAGATGAGCAGGATAGTAAGAAAACCCTGCACCACTTCTTACAAGGTTTAGCTTCATGTCCTATGGGGTAGAAAAATGAAATTCAGAATGAAGATCTCATGAGGTGAAGTAGTGTTTTTCAATAGAAACCTCACTGATTTTGTCTCATTTCAGTTTAACGGTTCATTTTTACAACATATATTGCAACTCATCTAGAAAGTAAAATAATTATTCTTCCCAAAATATTAAGGAATAAAGGAAGAGACATTTTATATGGCTAATTATTTAGGACAGACATTGAAGGCCCCTTCAGTGCTGGCAGTCAACACAGACAGATATCACTGGCAAGGAAATTTAGACCACATAAGATCAGAATAACCACGCACAAGTCTCTCTTTCTGTGTCTCTCCAGTGGACAGAGGAAACCTAGAGCTCTTAATTCAGATGTATCACTTCATTTCCTAAAGTTAGGTAGGAGGAATCCCAGCCACAGCAGTAGAAAGGCTCAAAGCAGAGCTGCTGCAGCACATGGGAATTTCACCTAAGCAGAGCCTACACAGGCCACAAATGACCCCAGGGACATCCCAGCCCAGATGCCAGCTTCTGTACTGCCATCTGCTTAGGAGCGTCTCTTTGAAAAACGAAAAGGGTTTTAACACAACACACAGCTCATTCCAACAAGTAGCCCTGCTAAAAAGCTTAAGAGTCACATGCTTCTGTTTGCAGTTACAACAGTAAATTTGGAGTAAATTCTCCGAAGTCAAGACAACTAAAACAGACAGGCTTGCTTTTTTCATCCTAACATATGGAAACGAAGCACTCCTCTTGCATCAGTAATGAAAATTACAGCTGTTAACTCAACAGGCAGAACACTTCAAAAGTATCCTACCAAGCTCTATAATGAAAGGCCCTCATGCTGTCAAAACTCATTTTAAGAGCGCACAGTGAGGTAACAGAAATTTCCAAACAGGGGAAAATGTCACAGGGTGACAAATGAAGTAGATGCAAATGTCTGTATTGAATACGTTTCCTTCTCTGTTTACTTATAAAGAGGAATCAACTACAATTTCATCCCTCTCTGTTGACTTTCTGTTTTTAAAAATAAGCCAGGAAAAAAAAAAAATCAGGGAGGGGAAAATAAACAGGCTCTCTTTTTCACCCATGAACAGGCATATGATGACACAGGAAAAAGAGATTCCCCCTTTAAAATCTGGACTTATACAACTAAATTTTAGGTGCAAATCTCCACACTGAAATACATTCTGCTTTTTTCTTCAACTGCAGATTTTTGTATACACATTGCCAAGAACATATGATTCATATTATTTCAACACTCTCCACTCTTCCATGCCAAGTATTCTGGAATATATTAAATAGGAAGTACAGCCTTAGTTACTGCGTCTGTCAAATATTACCTCAAAATGAATTCATTTACAAATATTACCATTTATTAAAGACAGCATATTCCCTAAAAAGTAGACGGGATTCCCTACAAGAAGTCCAGGAAACATTACAAACATTCAAAATCAAAATGGGGGGCAAAGGAAGCTTGTTTGGTCTCATCACAGCAGTGAATCTTACAGCATTATTTTAACATACTTGCAAGTATTGTCTTTGATTTCTTCTTTAAAAGTCTGTAAATGCCATTTAGAGAACTCATATATTTTTCTGTACCTTTTTCCTACCGTGAGAAACGATAGATAGCATGGGTTGCTCCCATGATTTTTATACTTTTTATATTTCAAAAGATCTTTCCTTCCAGAAACATGTTGACAAAACTGCCTATTGTACCTTTCTTGATGTAAAAGCCAGAGGCAATGAAGTTTGCATTGTCATGGCAGTATATTAGGACAGCTGAGGTGCAAAGTTACCCACCTTCTGGTTCACACATATATGCTAACAGAAACTGCATTAACACAACACTTCCAGAAGGTCACTGCTACAATATGGTAACTATTTACCACAGCCCCACCAACTCCTCCTCTAAAGGGTTGTTTCTCAACCCAAATATGAGGAAGGCAGCTTTTAACAGCAGGTAGTAGGAACTTGCTGTTAGTATTTTATCTTAGTCAATACATCTCCCAAGTGAACGGTATTACTATCCCCACTTTGGCAGAAGAGAGAAAAAGGCCATCTCGTGTACTTCTCCCGACCACACCAGCCACCGTCACGAGCACCTCAGACAAGGAAGCTTCTGTTTTCTCTGGAAAAGATGACAGCTGAAACCAGAAACTCACTACCCACCTTCTGCTACCAGCCAACCCTACTATGGGCAAAAAAATAAGTCTACCGTGGCTACACGAATGAAAAAACCATCTCACTATTAAAAAATGAGTCAGTTTTCACCACTTCAGATAGTCGTGAGAGAGGAAGGAATTCACCTCGTCCGGTTTTAGCTGCTTGAACACTTTAAGACACAGCCACATTATATTAAGGAACTTGATAATTTAATCTTTTGTTTTTAAACTGAATTTTCTATGTTTGCTAATTTACAGCTTGTACAGATGCGTTTCACCCTATCAGACTTCATAAAGTTGAGCGGCTCATTGTCATTGATTATTCATCTATCAAACATTTCCAGATTATTTCATAAAATATACAGTTTATTTGAGATAAGAATTTAACTCAAGCTTACAGATGTTTAAAAAAATAAAGACTTTGGTAAAAGTTTTTTCCTGACACAAACACATAATTCTTTAGATTAGATTTGCAAGATGAACCTCCAGAACTATGAATTCAGGATTCATACTCAACACACAATTCGATATTATACATTTTTGTTGACTAGTTAGCTTATTCTGTACTTTCACCAAACATGCATTTCCAAATCCTTAAGAAGACTGTGTATAAATATATTTTTATTTCTTAATTATTGCTTTTCACAATTCTTTCAGCTCTAGTCAGCCTTCATGGTGTATCTGAAATAGAGATGTTGGTATCAGACATTCAAAAAAACCACAAAATAAACTTCTGTGTTCAAGTTTTATGACAGCTTGTTCTGATGCTGGAAGTCAGCTCCCAAATCCTATAATTACTTGTAACAAGCTGCAGAGCACTTGATCTGAAAACTCCTTGGCTTATTGGTCAGTAAACACACTCATCTGAGAATGTGAAAATAGCTAGGATCACATACAAAATACATCATCTCAACACCAATTGATGAAAAGTTACAGAGAGTCAACATTTTCTGAGAAAGGAGGAAAGTAAGGAAATACTTACTACTGGAAGAACAAGGGTCCCAAAGGAATCTGAATAAAAAAGAAATACCACACTGTCAGAAACTTTATAAAAACTTACGAAAACACCAATATTGTCAGGTTAATTCGAAGAGCAGCGTCCCTCCCCCATTCCAACACTGCCCGTAATACCCACTGGACAACTGAATTCCCTTGATGTGGCTACTCTGGAGCTCAGGGCACATGGACCATCCAGCCAACACACATGCAATGGCTGTGACCTGCTGGCCAGCATGCACACGCTTATCGGCCAACTGACTGCTGCCAAACGCTGTCTGGACATGAAACTAAAAAAATGTACAGCCTGAAGCAACTGCTGCATTAGTCAGTATTGACATACTGTGTTTATACTTCATTCAACATCTCATTCCCCACATTTATTCCTCCCAAGTCCTGTCAAGGCCACTGTCAGCTACCATTAGGTTATAGGATAAGCAGCTCATCTCCACAGACACATGAAGGAGCACAAAGGAAGGACGGCAGGTGGGGGAACTCAAATACACCCAGCCCCATCCCAGGGGAGCACCCAGCCCCATCCCAGGGGAGCACCCAGCCCATCACACACCCATCACCACAAGCCCAGAGGCACACCAACAGGGGGGGTAATCCCAATACCGCAGTCAGAGACCCGATCCCCACCACCATCAGGCTACCAGATTCAGCAATGCCCTAGCAATCACTACTATCCCAAATCTGCTAAAAGAACCAGCCAGAGCAGAACGGCCCAGAAAAACTGAAATGCAGTGCTTCACTTAAATAATGGTCTGAGAATGCCAGTGGTGCCCCAGCTGGGAGCTGCCTGAACAAGGAGGGTATGTTTTGGCACTGCTGTCCTTGATAATGACTCCGCTCTCAGGTACCACTGTCCTAAGACCAAAGCATCCCTTTGCTTCTGCAAAGAAGTTGATTCTGCCACTCTTTCACATGTAACAGAAACCCAGGATATTTTACATTAATCTCCTCTGCAGTTTGGTAGGTGACTACTTTTTGTAGTCGTTTTTATCAAGATTAACAACTTTTCTAGAAGTAACAAAAAAGGAAAAGACTTTAAACTACACATTACCAGAGAAAGGCAAAAAATGCCTTAATCGTGGCCATTCCCTCTAGCAGTAACCTGCCACCTGGTGGCTTTATTGCTATGAGACAGCACCAGCAGCGTGGCAGTATGTCTATACCAAGCCATTACCTCTGTGACAACCTAAAGCTTCTTCTTCACTGGGCACTGGCTCTCAGCCTCCTCTTCACCAGATATATCCACTCCACCCCTTCCTCCCTTACATGGTTGACAGAAGATGTGTGATACCTTTTGCATGGCTGCAAAAGTATGAACTCCAGTCTACACCAACATTACGTCTCTATTTGGAGTGGGCTGACATCCATGTTCTCCACTTGAACGTTTTCCTTCATCTTCACACAGACTGAAACAGCTTTACAATCTCTTCAGTCCTCTACTCCACCCAAGTTATTATTTTCCATTGCTTCTGCAGCTCAGATATAGGCTAAAACTTTCAAAACCATGCCGAGGATTTACCACCCTTCAGCAAACAAGCACCCAGAATTAACCATCCGCACTGCATTACATCACCATGGGAATAAGTAAACAACATATTAATGTATGTGGGTTAATATAACTTAGTATTTTAAATATATTAGATAATGAGCCCTCAGCCTCCTGTTCTCCAAAAGAGACAAGCCCAAGGTCCTCAGCCACTCCTCATAGGACATTTCTTCCAGCCCTGTCACCACCAGCTTTGTTGCCCTCCTCTGGACGTATTAGAGTACCTTAACAACCTCCTTAAACTGTGGGGCCCAGAACTGCACACAGTACTCAAGGTGAGGCCACACCAATACTAAATACAGCACGATAATCACCTCTGTTGACTGGCTGGTCATGTTTGATGCACCCCAGGATGCGGTTCGCCCTCTTGGCTGCTAGGCCACACTGTTGACTCATATTGACTCATATTTTCTTTTGCTGTTTCCATTCAGTTAGACCTTTTTATATCTCCTAAAAAGCAAGGGTTTATACCTATCTTTTACTCGTTTGTTTCATGGAGTAAGCAAAAAAAACACACTTCATTTATTTTATTTGTGTCCTTCTTGATCCTGGACATAAAAGCATTCCAAGATGAAGCAATCACTTGGCCTTTGAACTCCAATGTTAATTTTAAAACTCAAGGAATTCTTTCCTTCAACAGGGGCAAAGAGAAGAAAGTTTCAATGGACTGAACACAGGTTGTCCTGGCTGCTGCCAGAGCACTAAAGGAAAAACCCCGTCCAGCATCTACCATCTATTCAAATTATAACTTGGGTTACACCAAATGACTCACAACCCACAAATGAAGTTTGTGGGTGGCACACTCCAGTACTTCATTCTGGTATTCAGAAGCTTAACGGGGATGGGTGGCATCAGGCCCTAAGCAACACAGTTCTTTCCACAACATGTTTATGCTACCGTTAAAGCCGCAATTTTTTTCCTATCATCCCTCTCTCCTCTTTACTCAAGAAGCAGCCCATGCAGTCATTGACTCTGAGCAACCCCACCAGCCTTTGAAGTTTTTCAGCCAGGATTCTCAGGCAAAATACACACTTCTTTTCTCAGTAGCCAGTGGAGAGGGCACCCACTGAACGGTGGAAGCCCCACGCTCAGCCAAGCTTGCTTGGGACACAGGGCTACAGGACAACCATCACCTACAGGAGAGGAATTGCACATCCTGCAGAGCACCTGATTTGTAGGCAATGTAAACCCCTCTGACTCACTGATATACTTATTCCAGACATCGACCCATACAACTCCACGCCCAAGCAATCACACTAACAGAGATATAATTTTAGCTAACTTATACCTTCCTAAGTCAGAAGAGACAGAGTTACTGTTAACTAAGAATAATTTTTTTTAAGGAATTACGATATTTCACTGATAAAGGAGGCTGGATGTAGGGTAACTAGCAGCAATGGTATAAAGCTACTTCCTGAAATTTCTCTCAGCTGTATACTAAAAGCCTAACCCTTCTCTAGTTCCCATCCCTGTGTGAAATAAGGCTGTGCTAAAGATGAGGTTTGCACAACCACAACCCATGACACTATGTCTCCAGAAAAAACAACCTTGTCACTGCTGATAGTGGGTTTTGAACAAAGAACAGGAACTTAGTTTTATTTACCACACAGATCTGAATGGATATGCACATGGTAAGTATTGCTACGCTAGCTTTAAGCTATCCAACAGCTAATTGTAGCAACAGCTATAGCAGTGACTTCAGTACATCGGGAGACACCAAGCACAAACCTGATATTCATACCATAGCCCACACCACGGGGTTTCTATTTCCATCTTTACCCACACCAATGCAAACGCACTAGTACGCAGGCATGGCGAGGGCAGAGCGCCAAAGGGGACTGCTACACATCACCCTGTGTGGCATCTAACAGCTTTCAAAGCAACCTTTCACATAACCGGGCAAGTATGTTGCAGCTTTCTCATCAGGGCAGTGCCTGCTTGCCTCCACCTATTTTGAGAACAACTAGCATGCAAAAGACAGAAATCTTAAGGTGGAAATAACAGGTTTCTTCCATGTTGCCAGGCCTAGGAGACCCAACATCAGGTCTGAGCCAGATACAGCCACGATGCAGAAGGAGAAGCAGCTGAGGAGGAGGGAGATTTACATCACAGTCACTTCTCCTTTGTGCAGCTCAGAGAGCACTTACCTTGTGAAGCAGTGTTAGGGAGCTACAGCCTCCCTGGCTGCCTTGATAAAGCCCAGAGCACCGTCTCATTCCCAGCCAGTGAAAACCATAAAAGAGGCTCCAGGGCATGAGGTAATCTTTCAATTCATGTCACTATGTAATTATTTTGTTAGGAACTGAGCAGCCTAGGCAGATCCGAAACTCTGTGGCATTGCAGTGAATTTCCCTGTCATGTAAGATTTTCCCATGTTCTCAGAGAGTACCAAGCTGCAGTCAATCCCCTGGAGCTCTGCTCAGCTACGCCCAGGGATGGCTTCGGATGTGCTCAAGTGGGAGCCGTAGGCAAAATATTTATGCCAATGCTGAATTGCTGAAATTTACCACATTTTTTGGTCCACTTGATGAATTAAATTTATCTTAAATCATACAGCAATCTCAGGTTTATAAAGAGTTAATCACAGTCCAACAGCTAGCACATGGCACTGCTCCACTGGAAGCTCTGCTATCATGCAGCTGGACACTTTTACCCACATGCAGTGTGTAAAACTTACACATGATATCAGTTAAGCCCACTGTCCCTGAAAATGGCAATAGCTGTCACCCTCCTTTAGCACATCCCTCTAAGGGATCCCTTCAGTTATTCAATACAGCTCCCAATGATTACAGGTAACTAACTCCAGGCAGTAGAACTAGATTTAGACAGGAGCCCAGAACAGCTATGCCACCTGCACCAAGTGTCACAGATCACAAAATGCTTCCTTCCTGACTCGTCACATCTGCTCTCTGCAGCAGCGGACTAACCAGCACGACTGCAATGGGCCATGGAGGGGAAAGACCAGTCAAAAGCATAGGTCCCTGCTAATGCAAAGGATTAGTTAAAGAAAACTCCCAGATGGGAGTCATGCTCCAGCTGCAGTGGGAGGCACGAAAAATTCAATGGACCATTCCAGACTAATCTTGAGGAAAGTTAAAAGACACAAACAACCAAAAAAATCCCCACAGAAGTCACATGATCCTTCAAGAAAAAATATCCTTCCTTGTCACTTCCAAAATCATTTCTCTCACAGAATTCCTGAAGCTTGTACTGTATTTGTTCAATAAATACTACGAATTTGCACAAACTCAGGTCTTGTCTCTATATTCTAGCTCACATGGCAGGTATCACTACAAACAGACTTTCCCATCTAACCTTTTCTACTGACGTCCTCATTCCTTCTCAGTCCTGTGTTAGAACGACAAAATATAACTGGAATCGCTTCAGACTGATTTACTAAAATGATGCCACGTCTTTCTTCTGGCAGCTGTGTTCACATATCCATGCTTAGGAA